TATTACAGCGGGGGGGCAGGCTGAAGTTAAGTGGCATGACCTGTGGGTTGGATGGAGTAGGGGGTGGGGGGGGATAAATGTATGGCTAATTTGTGGAACATTTGAATAAAGGGATGAGGATTGTGATGGGGCCGGCCACACAATGTGACGCGAATGAGAAGTCAGTTGAAGACCAAGCGTACCATAGCATGGAAGCACTTTAATAGTGAAGTTAAAAAATGTTTTACATTTAATAATATTTTTTAACATTTTCGACCTATGCTACAGGATCGTTTTCTGAACTCATTCAGCTGAGTGGGTCCCCTCTTCTTCGCTTTTTTGCCGACTTCGCCCGTTATTCACCTCTTACCCCCAGGCCAAAACCATAACCCCATGAATGGGTGCATGACCACACACACACACACACACACACACACACACACACACACACACACACACACACACACCCACACACACACACACACACACACACACACACACACACTCGTAGACTGAAAAATGCAAAGAAGCTGCAGCTGAGGTTGATCAGCAGAAGGGTGAGGAGCAATTGAGGCGGCTAATTCAACAACATTTATCCGTGTGTGTGCGTGAGAGAGACTTAAGGTGCAATCTTGTGCTATCTCCTTGCCCCGGGTCACACATATGTACTTAAGCACCATCGTGCCGAATCAGCCACCCATCTCTCTGATTGATGAGCTGAGTAGTTGCATCTCGTAAAAACTCTGCTCTCGCTGCACACCTGGGATCCTTATGCAATCCCAAGTGAGGCTGCAAGAGAAAGAAAGACAGAGGGAATAAAAAGCTTAGGAAGTTTTGCCGGCATAAATGCATACATATGGTAAACTGGTATTTGCAGATCCACGTTAGTGATCTAAAGCGCTCTGAGGCACAGTTTGAGGTAAGCAATCAAACAGATGTTTGATTCAGTTAAAATAATGATGTCTCTTCCACAGATGGTGACGAAAGAGAAGATCAGCATATATTTCCATAGGACCATGAGAGAAGCATTCGCTAGCTAATCATAAAGTTAAAGGAGAATTCTATTTTATTACAACTTTGGTTTTATTTTCTAAGCAATAACTGTGTTTACATTCTTTAATTTAGTTTATGGGAAGATACACCTTGTGCCATTACTGAATATGGGACTATTTTACTACCGTTGCCATTTTTATATCGATTCATTCAATTTTAGCCAGCTGTGTGTTACTAATAGGAGAGATTAACTGAGAACATATTTCCTTTTTTAACTCTCTACAACCTCTACTAGCATCAAAACATGTTTGAGAAAACATAAGTAGCCCATGCTAGGGTCCCCACATTGTATCTATGTTGCCGGCTTAGCCCTACATGTAGTTATCTGTACAAGTGTACGTTAGCTAGCTCCAGTCGTGTTTGGCTAACCTTGCTAACCTTGGGTTTTGTCTATAACCTGTATGAGGTTCTGGCTCTCCATGTTTCCTGCTCCTTTAAAGTTACATTTCTGTTCTGCACGTCTACAGGAACGACTTTACTACAAGAACGTGTTGTGAAAAACACATGCGCCCCCTCCCTCCTTGTGTCCGTCATAGCTGCATCCTTGCTCATACACTCGTGTAATTGCAATAGACAATCAGATGCCATCTTTATAGGCGCATGGTACAACTGTCACATAGTGTAAGGCCGCGATAAAGCACGGCCGATAAGTCCTGTCAAAAGATCTTACGGCATGCTAACGCTCCCTTCACCACCATGCAGTGTTGATTGTTCCTCTGAATCAGTCAGCCAGAGACGGGGGTCCTGTTCTGAGCAGATGTCGCGGACGATGTGCTTCCGTCTCCCTGATGTGGTTAATAAGATGTAATGAACGGTGGTGGCCGCTGCATGGCTGTTTGTTGTTGCGTGGGTGGAGCGGATCTGATATGGTTAGTAAACCCAAGGTGACAAAGGTGTTGGGATATGATGAGGAGGTGACATCGGGTAAAAGCTCAACACTTGACTTCCAGGGAGAAGGGAGGCCCGGCCTGCTTACTACACTCGGACCCCCGGAATAGACCCTTGCCCCCAGAGGCCTATCGCTGTCACACAGAAAACCAATTGCCTCCGATATTGTCCTGCTATGATCCCAATGAATCTATTAGTCCACGTCTCCTTCAAAATATTGTAGTGTTGCTGGAAGATAGAACTGTCAGATCATCAGCTCTTTAAAGATAACTTAATTTTAAGCCATATGAAATTTGACGGTGACTGGGAGGTGACACATGATGACATGCAACAAGGTTTCAAAACTTTGATTCGTCGACACAGTTCAGTGATCTTGTCACGGTGTTCCAGGCTAGTTCGATAACATCTTGATTTCAATCATGTGTCAGAGTGCATGATATCAATTTAAAGGCATGCCACTGTATAACATTTTGTTTGTTCTGGCGGATCGTACTGTAGCAGCACATTATAACACTGTGTTCAGTACAAAATGGGTATTTTCAACAAAATACAGAAACATACTGTTACCAAAAGAGAGTTGAGCCATTCAGTAAAAATGACCTTCTCTTAATTTGCTTTTAATGATATGTTGGTTTTCTTGTGCTTCTTCTCGGTGTAGATTGCATAAAAGTGCTTCGATGTATCTCTGTATATTACTATTGTGCCAAATGTAGGCTCATTATCTCAGTGTATTGGCCTTTAAAGAACAACGTCTTCAATGTTTTGCAGATTAAGTGGGTTAAATTGTAGGAGTCAGCAATGAAGACTGAATTCACACTTAAAATATAACTTTTTCATTTCAGTTAAACCTGAACTACAGTTGAAGCCACCAAAGTGTTCACAGCTTTTTAGACCTCTGCCCCTTTATGCCCAGCTGGAGAGAGACAGAGACAGAGTAATCAGCAGATACTGATGATAATCCTACCTGGTGAGGGAGAGGTCAAAGGTCAACAAGGCTGCCGGGGGGGTACAGTTGGTAAAGTGGGTGGCTCTTGAGTGTGTCGATCCAGGCCCCCCCCCCCCCCCCCCCCGCCTGCAGAGTGGAGCTCCTCTCCCCTTCAGAAGTGGGGGGGAAGGTCGCCTCTAATTGGCTGCTCTGTCCTGGTCACCTGCTGGGCCTCGTCCCTGCGTCCGGCTCTGACTGAGAGAACTCAACACACCAGCTTTTTAAAATTCTGCCAACAGTCAGCACAGTGACACACAACAAAAGAGGACTTTCAAAATGACTGACAAGATATATTTTAGAGTTGGATTTAATTTCAAGTACTTTGAAGAATATCCTGGAGTATATTTAGTACACTAAATGATGAAAATATGACCACATTTTTCAACCATTTGTGATGATCGGTTCCTGTTTTTTTAAAACCAAAGTCTGATTGACAGATGAAACTTAAAATATAAATGTACTTATTTTATTGACAATTATGTAAAATTCAACATCAATTAAAAAATGCTACAGTAAGTGAACAAATTCAAGCAAACATATTTTAAAGCATCTGTTTTATAGTGTAGAACTGTACTTAACTACCAATGGGCGTGTAGACGTAAATAACTTTTTTGCCTACAAATAAAGTACAGTTTCTTCTGTAACCATAGCAACACCACAAATACTGTGCATAAAGAACAACTTGCCCAGAAGCAACTTTTGTGGGCTCGAGCTTAATTAATTACATTTCTGAAATAAGAATAACTGTGTGACGCTGCACATTGGAAACAGCATTCCAACCAAATGTTAACATAACAAGAGGACAAGGGTTTCTTTAACGCGAAACCACATCATAAAGTACCCCAACGAGTCACAAGGCTCTCTCAAATGACTGCAAGCTGTTTTTATCCTTCACAACTTCACAACAATTGCCGCAAACACACAGCAGGCTGTCTTAACGGAAATCCATTGAACTCTGTCTTGTGGCTGGTTTTCGCAAAACAAATTCAAAAAGGATGCTTCACACTGACACATCTGCAGAGAAAAGGGGTCATGAGCTGTGGATGCCTTTGATTTATTTGCACCAGATGAACATTATGGCAGCATCAGATTATGAGGAGCATGTTAAGATTGGGGAAGGGGAAAAGTGTGTCTGAAAGCATTTTAAAGTTACAATTTGAAGATCTCAGTAATTGTGGAAATAACTGAAAGTGTGCTTTTGGAATTTAAATCCCAACTGTACATTGCTTATTGTTTTCCCCTACAAACGTCGCCACCAGCTATTTATATATTTCATTTTTTCCCTGCAACTTACTTGGACTTCTATGTTTTTTGGACTATTTAATCTTTTCATGTTAAGTAAAGTGGGTGTTGCATTGTTCGAGGAACCTGAAACTTAATTTTCTTGTCTCCAAAAACTACACTTTTGCACATTTGATAAATAATTTGAGTCCAGGCACTACATCCATTATCACACATGCAGTTGGGCCATTGTCAATCACCATTGAGTTACCTTAACTCAATGAGATTTATTTTTTAATGACTACTTATCATTAACAGGTCCTGCCCCCACAGGCACGACTTGGCCTGTTAACGGTGATAATAGCAAACACCCAGCCAGCAGCAGTAAGGCTTTCTGAGGCACGGATCATTGTTCACATGTCACAAAAAGATCCCTCGGCCTCTGGGTGCTCTTTTCCCTCTCTCTGTGGCCTCCCTCCCTCCCTCTCTCGCTGCCTCCCTGCGTCCTTCTCTCTCCAGCAGCCCCGTGGGAGCGCAAGGGTTGAAATGACACACAGTGGCTGCTGTCGCCCAGGGGCCCGGGTTCTGGCCTTGGCTGGCTGGATCTGTGTGGCAGCTGGTGAGCCCGCTGCCCTCCCTCTGGCCTGCAGCATCAACAGTGGTGGTAGTGGGACTGATTGGAGCCTCACTCTGATCTCTGAGCTGCTCACTGCTGCCCACACGACTGGTGGAGAGGCAGTGGGACGCAAAGAGGATGCAATCAGGAGCACTCACACTAAACTGCCCACTGAAATGGCTGTATGAAAACAATCTTAAGAATAAAATGTCCTGAAAGAGATGTGAGCTGAGAGATGACAGAACAATGTGGACTCAGTGACTGTGCACATTATGGGGTTATGGTTTTGAACCAGTAACCACTTTTATTTAGACAAACTGTTGCTGTAAATGCATTGATATGGCATGAAGGACGCTGCTTTTCCTAAGGACATTTTATTAAGTCTTGATTCTATTACATGTTCATAGCTCAGATTAAACAAAACAAAAATAATCACCATTTATAAATAGAAACACCTTTCAAACAAGCTAGCAGCACTTCAAAACCATACAGCCTTCCCTTTGTAAACAACTTCCAAAAGTCCCACAAAATAATTTTAAAAAAAAAGAAATTAGACCAATGTTGCTGTCTCACACTGATTCAAGGTTAAGACACCAAACGTCCCATAAATATTTTAATCAGGAAGGAAAATATTGAGAGGTTAAGACAACCTTCTTTCTTCCACTTCCAACTAATTGTTAAAGTCAGATGTTAATGGAAAAAAAAATATAATAAAAAATTAAAATGAAGTGAATTTCATTTTTATTAGCAGGCAATCCCTTAAAGGAGTTTCAGTACCTCAGGCTGTTAGGGCGGCGTTAGCTCTTCCTGGTTAAACACCATTTAAAAAGTCTAACAGGAAGTGTACAGGTTTGCGACCGGGACAAGACATTAAGGCAGGAATCGTGAAATAAAATACGTTGGATACAGATGTGGGAAAGTCCTCAGATAGGGATGATGATGTAAAACACTTTTAGATATTTTGCCCAGGTCTGGTCCAAAAGACAGACCAGCTCGTAATGTATCATGCTGGGAGGGGGGAGGGGGGGGGGGTCTCAGTGGTGTTTGCTGGTGTAGATTCTGTTCCTCAGCACAACGAGAGGGGGGAGGTGGTGTCGGACGCCGGGGCAGCGCTGAATGTGGTCGAACCATCGGGCGACGTTCACATACTGCTCCTTCTCCTGGACTGACAGATCCACCTGGGTGAAAGAGAAAGGGCTTTTTGATATAAAGAAAAAAAAACATAAACCACTTTTTTGTAATATATACAATATATACAGTTTGCTATAAATATAAAAGGCATAGTGCTGTAATACATGAAATACATTTATTTTGGACCAGCCAATATTTATTTGGAGCTGAAACAATTTGTTGACCAAAGAAAAATAATCACAAATATTCATATAATCAATTAATAATTGAATAATTGAATCTTCAGTGTTTCCCCTATATACAAATAGCAGCGGTGCCCGCTGCTAGGGGGCGCCAGCCAGGTACTTTTTAAAAAAAAAATTAAAATAATAATAAGTGGCGACCCTTTTTTATTTTTGATTGTTTGTTATGTGGATTTGTAGTCTTTGTGTTACTGTATGTTCAATAAAGGTGTATTTTTGCTAAATCTTGAGACATTGCCACTGTATGTACTGACAGGGCTGATTTTTGGCATAGGGTCGCCAGATCTGGGGGGCGCTGTGCTGGTAGCTCTGGGAGGGGAAAAAACATTTTTGACCGTTGGCGCTCATCCTAATTTTTGGCCTTGATGTAACAACATTCATAATTAAGTAAATGTAACACCCTTTTCACCCCGGTTACACTTTTAATTTGCCCTGTACAATGGACGCTGCAAGTGATGAAAGTGGGGGATGTTGGCTTAGCCAGCCAAAGTGCGAGCGTGGAAGCGAGAGAGCGAGCGAGGGAGAGAGAGAGAGAGAGGGTGCACCGGTACCGGCGCTGTTGTTATTAGAATCTGGTGCTAGCTGCGCTAATGGATATAAGAAGTAGATATTTTTCTACAACCAGGGTGGAGGAGAGCTCTCCTGTCAGACTGAGAGGCTCAGTGAGGTAAAGGACTGAGTGTTTAGATAGTTAATTTTAGTCTAAGTTATCTCAGTGGGTCTCAAACTAATTATGTAAACACATTATTTCCAAGGCACTCCTTTATAATAATTAGGATAAATAAAAACAGGTTTGAAATCATTCCAATGTATATTATAGGACAATAAACCAAAAATATATTTTAAAGTTGGAGAGATACAAAAATATGCATAAATAAATAAATGTTAAGGTAAAATAAGATATAGATGAACAACAAAAATAAAATAAGTTACATTTATTTGTTATTGGCTATGGTAGGTTATTGGTTATGTTCACATACTTATATTGATTATTAAAATGTAAACCAATCTTTTTCAGATGGGTGTTTAGAGTTGTACCCCCTGGATCAGGTCTCTAGTAATTGTGTGCACCAGATTGAAGCATTTTATTTTAAAAATGTTCAAACAAATCTTCCCGGGTGGGCAGACCCCCGGACCCCTCTAGAGGAGGTGATGTCCACCCCCCAATTAAAACATGTTCATACAATACTGAATACAGTTGAAGCCATTTTGACGTCTATTACCTATGTCAATAAGTTTCTGTTTTTGTAGTGTATTTGTCTTTTGCAGAGATTTTTCATTTATTCTTTATATATAAAATCTCGCCTTGGGCAGCAAATTGTCTAGAACCGGCACTGGTACTAAGCCTCAAGAGCCTTTCTTGTGCTGGCAGACACAAATAAATAGGTGGGGCGCACTTCGCACACACTAAAAAATTGCACGCGCTCCACGCTCACATTATACTGGACCCACGTGCCTTAGCACCGCTGCTATGACTCCATCCTAGGGGAAACACTGATCTTAAAAGATAAACTGAATATCTTTGGGTTTTAGACTGACAAAAACTAGACATTTAAAGACACTAACTGGGATCTAATAGTTTCACAATTTTGATTTACCATTATTTTGTATAAATGAAGGATAAATATTTCTTTTTTTTGCTTCTGACTTTTTCAGATTTTTGTTTCTTTTGTTTTTGCTAAAATACTTTGACTTCTTCAGGCTTCAAGTTAACTGTACTGTACTGCTTATTCACACCATTAAGGAGCTATCCGTTTAAAAATAATATCATATTAATGTTTTCTTCAATTTGGTGCTAAAATAAAACAAAAAAGGATAATACCAGAACTTATTGGGACATCTTTGGAAAAATCGTATTAGACGTGTTCCTTTTCATTCTCTCATTAACTGGACTGAGACAACCTCCAGGGTGGGGCTCGCTGACCCCGTGTCCCCGAGGTTAAAACCCGCACTGATTGAAACCAAAGTGACGCTCTTCTGCCTGGTGGCGGGGGGGCAACGTTCCATCTCCGCCACAACCACTGACATCTCTCAACATGTGAGCGCTCCCTCCCTCCCTCTGTCCCATCCCGTCTCCCCCATTTCTGGTCTCACTTTCTTTGAATACTGGAAGGCATAACGAACTTCCTTTTCCCTAGTCTGAGGCTTAAGACATCACTTTGTGCCACATTACTTTACTTCTCTGAAGAGAAGTGGGAATGTGTTTACAACCAGTGTGTTCTTTGCCAACTTGTTCTCGGTTCCCTTTGGCCATATGACTGGTCTAATTGTGTGTTATGCGCTGTGACAAATTGCTTATTAAAGTTGCGGTTTGACTGAAGTGAGTGCTGATAGGGAGGGAAAGGATGGATGAAGGGATGGATGGAGACCTTGGAAAATGGTGGTGAGAACGGCACAGAGACACATCAAATCAATCACATTTACCCCTCAATGTTCAATTTCATGTGACTGTAGAAAACTAGGGACATATAACATCTACGTCTTTCCAATTTAAGCGTCTTTTTTTAAGTTTCAGTCATTTTAACTTAAAAAAATATTGAAATGTGTCCTAGAGGTTCACCTGAATGGGCAACAGTTTATCTACATACACACAAGTTAGGTTACATATAAGGAAATATAAAATGTACCTTTTTTTTTTTTTAAAGTGAAAAGTTAACTGACCCTAAGCTAACTTGAATTAAATCCAAATCTCCTTTAACCATCTCGCTTCTTTTAAGACTCAACAATGTTAAAATGATAATAACCTACCAAATCTGAATGGTGTGACACTTAAAGATGTTAAAGAAAATGCACTTACTATGATTGGATGTATTCCAAAGTACATGAAAGTGTCCGCTAAGGTGAACTGGTTGCCCGCCATGTAGACCTTGTCTTGCAGGTAGAGGTTGAGGTCCTGCAAGAAGAATGTTCACAACATTACCAGCTATGCAAATGAGGTCATTAATTTATGCATCACGGAACGCATTTCTATGTAAACACGCTTGTCTTGACACAACTGATGAATGCATTAGGGGGGGAAATTACATTTGCATGAATCGCTAATGAAGACTGTCGTTGTTGTTGGCCATGAATTATATTGCATCTCACTAAACACTGTTATGGATTTATTGTACAAATTGACTCTTTAAGGCATTGCTTACAAAAAAAAGAGAAGGTAAATATATGCAGCTCCTTGAAATAAAATGTATATTAAAATCTCTTTCTGGACAGATCTTCAGTATAAGGGGGAATGACAGCAGGTTTGTTAACCTATATATCTGTGTGTGCGTGAGGTCCGTGAGTCCTAGCTAGCGTGTGTGTCTGTGTGCTATGTGGGTAGGAATAATATGTAACCTGAGGGGGTTTAGCATCCCTCCCCATAACTGGCGACCTAGCACAGATGCTGTACAAAACAGGCTATTTGTTTACTCCGCTACTAAACTTGGGCATCGTGATGTGTTTTTCTCAGTCCATGTCTGTGCAAAGTCGTGCATGGAAGTGCTGGTCCCAGGGGAAGGGACCATCTTTAGCACTTGTACATTGTGAGAAGGGAACACTCCACGCACACAGAGCATCTTGGGGGCAAATGGAGTTATTGTGCGGCAAGAGTGGGTGATGCCAAACAAGGCATGAAGACTGCAGACTTCCTCCCCTTCCACAGTCAGACCCTGGCTTCTCCTAGCCTACAGCCATGGAGCTGAAGCCCAGTGGAGCATCAGAGGACAGGCAGCTCTCCTTCCACCCCCACCCAGCACATGGAGCTCCAAACCTGGGTTCTTCTCCACCTGCCCCCTCCTCAACTGCACACTCTTATTGTAGACACATTTGGATAAAGCAATGCAGGCAAAGTTTATAACATAATTTACAGACTATTACTCCACAACAACCGGGTCAGGGGCAGAAACTTTCCGAAACTCATAACAATATAAACAAAGTGTTTGCCCTTTGGGTACGTTGTGTACAGGCAGGAAAAGCACAGCTGTTCATTTTTACATTACACAGAAATAGAACTAATAAATAAATATGAATACCCCAAAGTATATTTGCATTACTATTGCAATGCATTATATGTCTCTGGGCGCATTTCTTTGTGATATACTTTTCTACTCTTGATAGTTTGTGACTGCTGTCAGAATACTCCACAGACACTTCTCTATTTTAACCTCACAGTTACTGTCTCAACACAACGTTGAACTGGTCCTGTGCGTTCAGGAAACCATTACTGGTGTCCCCAAGCTCAGACATTTCTAAATTAAGAAGTTTGAATACCATAAGGCTAAATGTGAAGGGAGATTCTTGTGCAAAATAAAGTATGTATTCTTCCTTTAAATTGTGTAATGCAATACATCTATTCAAGATGTTGGTGGTCTCCTTTGACTAAAGACAGTGGGAACTGACCTTGGTGTAATTGGCTGTATTTTAGAAAATGTTGCTTCATAAAACCAAACAACTGCTGTGGCGGCAGGAAGCCACCCTGCCTAATTGGTTTAAGGTGACAGACATTCTCCAATATTCATTTAACTTCACATGACATGAGTGACAAGATGCCCACTTCAGAAACAGGTCTCAACTATGAGCTATTCTTATTTGCATCCTGGGGTGAGAAAGTTTAACAAGTCCTGCAGACAATTTCTGTGTCTGGACAATTTAATGGGAGATGACTAGTGTGCTTGAGAGAAGAGTGTTAAAGACGGAGCTAGAGCAGCGGGACAGGACAGGGGGCACCAGGCACCAGAACTGAGCTGCTCAGGGCGACTTCCTTCTGTAAGTGGCACCATTAAAATATTTAAGAGGCCTGTCCAGATAACATGCTGCCACACCGCATGACTCCTCAGCCATGCCTCAATAGTGTGTCATGCTGAGACACACACACACACACTTCATGCTGACATGACAGTGCCAAGAGGCGCCCAGCGTCCAGCAGACCAGCGGCTGCCGATCCATTTCACGCTGACTGGCGTCAGGCACATTAAAGCGTTTTCCTCTGTCGTGTGGGGCCATGTCACTGAGGGCCATACATCAGTCTGTATTCCTGTTGCTGGAGTTTTAACAAGACAAACACACACACAGTAGCCTCACTGGTGTACACAGAGAGTGGATGTGAGAGAAACTAAAATGCAAAAGTCGGGAATGATTTCTTTAAATTATTGTCCTTTCACAAATCCTAGCTTGGGAACAACCAATAAAATCAGGGAAAATCGTAGGTACAGTTTCATCAGAGTCTTAAGTTATAATACAACAGCTATTGCAATTCGGAAACAACAACAATTTCTTCTTCTCTACCTTCAGGATGGCCTTCGTGTCTTCCTTCGTGCATCCATCCAGCTTGGTGACCCTGTACTCCAGCCACTGCTGCACCACAGCCCTGCTCTCTGCAGAGTCTCCCAGCAGGTTTGGGCGCTTGGCCTCCTTCACCAGGTGAGAGGCGATGGTCCCCAGCCCTACCAGCGGAGGACCATTGTTATTCTGTAGCACAGGCACCTGCATGGAGAGGGCAATGAGATGGAGACAGTGAAAAACAGAGAAATCTATTTATTCATTCAAATTCAGACACAATTAACTATCAGACATCATCTTTGCTTTAAACACCTTTTAAAAAGGTGCTTAATGTTGATTTAGTTCTAAACACAGAAAAAAGCACCCTTGATCACTTTACACATGTATTAATAAAGTAGTATGCCTCTGAAGAAGTAAATGCATGTGAATATCCATTTTTCATTTATTAAAATTAATTAATTAAATGAGGTCGAGTTTCTAAAGTATTCATATGCAAGTAGGATAATTTATGGTGCTACAGAAAGTGACAGCTCTCCCCTCATCAGTTGACATTAATGGACGGGCATGCGCACAACATTGAGCTATTTCCATTGTGCCGAGTTGTAGAAATAAAACATCTGGTATTAAATGTTTCTGCCTGGTTTTTAGTATCGTTATCAAGCCCAACTGACGACAACACTACTGACTCAAGACTGATAGTAACATTTAGAAAAGCCACTGAACTGCCAGTATTGTAATAACACATGACTAGCTTGTTAGCACTCTCTAGCTAGCTAGTAGCTACTGTGTGCTAATTACATAGATTACAAGTGTCCTATAAGATAAAACACCGGTTTAAAGGCAACATTGGACCCAACAAGGATGTATTCTCGTGTCACCTTTTTGTCCCCCTGTGTGCTGTACTTGTTCGGCTTTTTCAATCCTAAATATTTCTCCAGCGATGATAGCTCCCGTAACGCCATGTTTCTGACTGTCGGAGGGGCAGTGCCGTGTGAGTGCGATCTGATTGGCTAAAATACTCAACTCCTGCCCACTATGATTTGACTGACGTGCAAATTAACCAATAGGAACACAGTAAGCAAGTGTGTCACAACATTGCATCAGTGGATGAGCCATCATCTCTTCAAATAAAAAATAGAATATAATTGAATAAAATAGAATAAGTTAATTATTATGAAAATGACGGGCAAACCTCAATATAATAATATAATAATAATACAAATAATAATACAAATAATAATATAACAAATATGATTTAATTACTTTTTATTTTCAAAGTTTTTATTAATAAAGTCTCAAGTGCTAGAGAAAAGTGTTCCTGTCTGTCTGTCTGTCTGTCTGTCTGTCTGTCTGTCTGTCTGTCTGTCTGTCTGTCTGTCTGTCTGTCTGTCTGTCTGTCTGTCTGTCTGTCTGTCTGTCTGTCTGTCTGTCTGTCTGTCTGTCTGTCTGTCTGTCTGTCTGTCTGTCTGTCTGTCTGTCTGTCTGTCTGTCTGTCTGTCTTGACAGTCCGTCCCAGCTGTGACATTTTGTGTGTTTTCTGTTTGGATTTGCACTGCACTCCTACGATTTCTCCATAATGAAATGTCCCCTGTCAGTCAAAACTGGGCTTATTAAGTATATATGTCCAAATGCGTGTGTATTCTCCGGTATGTACTTGTGTGTGTGTTTGTGACACTATAGAGTATGACAGCTTATTTTATCTTTCATCCCCAGCTGTCTCACTATGTAACAGCTCACCTGGATTACAAGGCTCGAGGTTATCGGTGACTGCAGCAATACAAATCAAATTAATATTTTATCTCTGGATTTTTATTGATGTTATTAAGACTGAAGTAAAAATATTCAAGACATGGATGTATTAAGGAAGACAGGAGAGGCTGGGAGTCCAAACTGAAGACCGCTGTGATTTTCCTACAGTGACATGTCAACATTTTTTCCATGGAAAAGGCCTTAGGGGGCCAACAGTAATATTAATTAAATTAATCTATATGTCTTCGCTAGCAAATCTTTTATCACAGCTAGACTACAAGGAAATATTGCTACTTGGAGATTTTAACTGGGACTGGTTAACTGCAGTGTCAGAGGATTTTAAAAACCTTTGTATCTCTTTGAATGTTACTCAGATTGTTGACAGTCCTACTCGCCCTAACATTAAGTCCCCTAATAAATCCTCCCTAATTGATCTCATTTTAACTAATGCTCCCTATAAATACTTATCTGTGGGAGTATTTGCGAATGATCTGAGTGATGTTGTAGCCACAATTAGGGACACTAAGGTTTAAAAGGTTAAATCTCGTATTATTATTAAGAGAGACATAAAACATTTTGTGGAGCAGGGTTTTGTACATGATCTGTTTGGGTTTGATTGGGGAAAAATTGATCTGTGTGCTGATGTAGAAACGGCATGGTCTTATTTTTTATCTTGGTTTTATGGAGAACATTGATAGACATGCACCCCTGCGTAAATTTAGAGTAAAGGGACGAGACAATCCTTGGTTTTCTGCTGAATTGTCTAGTCTCCTACATGAGAGAAACAAGGCCTGGGCAAAGGCTAGGAGATCAGGCTCAGAGGTAGAATGACTGCGTTTTAGGCAGCTAAGGAATAGCTTCACTTCAAATGTCAAAAGTGCTAAGTCGAAGTACTATTTGTCAGTTACCACAGAAAACCTAAATAATCCTAGGAAATTTTGGAAAGCCATAAAATCGATATCCACCGGTGAGATCCGTAATGAGCTACCTCCATGCATTACCACAGCATCTGGCTCTATATCGGACAGGGCCACTATGCTAAATTGCTTTAATGAGCATTTTGTGTCCTGCGGTTCTATGTTTGATTCTGTGACTAACTCTGCTGCTGTGAACACCCCAATCCGTGACTCTGAACAATGTGGTCTGGAAAACCCTTTGAGTTGTACTCCTTTTACTGTCAATGTTGTTCATGAAGCATTATCTAAGTTAGATCCTAAGAAACCGGCTGGCCCGGACAACGTAGAACCTTTGTTTTTAAAGATAGCTGCAGATTTTATTGCTCTTCCTCTCACTACTCTTTTTAACCTCTCCCTCAGCACAAATGCAATTCCAAAAGTATGGAAGTCAGCTTATGTCTTGCCTTTGCTAAAAGGAGGGGAGGCAACTATTTTAAATAACTATAGGCCAATCTCAAAATGTTCAGTTCTGGCGAAGGTGCTCGAACGCCTAGTGAGTGAACAAGTAAAGGAGTTTTTATGTAAAAATGACATCCTGTCTAAACATCAGTCAGGCTTCAGAAAACAACATATCACCATCACTGCGACAATGAAAGTGGTGAATGACATTACGAGTATTTTAGATAATAAGCAGAGTTGTGCAGCTCTATTTATTGACCTTTCCAAAGCGTTTGACACCGTCGATCATCGCATCTTAAAGCAGAGGCTACTCAGTATTGGTATATCCAGCCATGCAGTGGGTTTTTTTGTGAACTACCTCTCTGAAAGGTCCCAATGTGTTCACTTTGATGGGCTGTCTTCTGAGTGGTTAAACATTGCTAATGGTGTTCCTCAAGGTTCTGTTTTAGGTCCACTTTTATTCTCTATATATATCAACAGTTTAGGTGAAAATGTGGATGAAGCTACTTTAAATTTTTATGCGGATGATACCGTGATGTACTGTGCAGGTCCCTCCATTCAGGAGGCTGGTGTTAAATTACAGGCTGTTTTTAACATTATTCAGACTCAGCTCGCTGAGCTTAAGCTTCTTTTAAATGTTGATAAAACCAAGGTAATGCTCTTTTCTAAAGCTAAAAAGACTACAGACACTGCTTTGGATATTGTTACTATGCAAGGACAAGTACTCAAAGTGGTTACCTGTTATAAATACCTAGGTATCTGGCTTTATGATTGTCTTACTTTTAAACTTCAGGTCATTAATCTGCTTAAAAAGCTGAGGGTTAGACTAGGTTTCTTTTTCAGAAACAAGTCCTGTTTCTCATTTGAAGCCAGGAAAAGGCTAGTCACTGTGACCTTTTTACCTGTGCTGACTATGGTGATTTGATATATATGAATGCACCTGCCCATTGCCTGGAAAAGTTGCCGCGTATCACAGTGCTCTGAGATTTGTTACTAACTGTAAAGCACTTACTCATCACTGTACCCTGTATGCCAAGGCAGGTCTGCCTTCACTAACTGTACGGAGGCTCAGTCATTGGTACATGTTCATTTATAAAGCCATGTTGGGTAAACTACCTTTTTATATCTGATCTCTGGACGAATTGAAAGTACGCCTGAGATCTCATGATGTTGTTTTATTAAATGTGCCAAGTGCTAGGACTGTCTTAGGGAAGAAAGCTTTTAGTTGTGCAGCTCCACTAAATTGGAACAGTCTGCAAACATGTTTAAAACTGAGCACTTTGGTTCCCCTGCATCATTTTAAAACTCGGCTGGGTGACATGCTGTTTGATACTCATGGTAGCTGTCTGTAAATAGAGTTTGTAAACTGTACCCTGTACATTATGTTGTATGTCATCCTTATTGTTGTTCTGTTGTTTTTATGTTACATGTGTAACTAATGTCCTGCAGGTCACCCTTGAAAAAGAGATCTTTTGATCTCAAGGGGCTTCACCTGGTTAAATAAAGGCTACAAACATACTCATGGTATTTGATTGCTTGATTAACACTTTTGTGGGTTAAAGACTACTACATAGTCTACTTATACAACATCAACTATAACATCGAAAGCCAATTGTGAATATATTGCTTTTTGTTGATAACATAATAAGAAAGCAATCAAAACCTGGGCCATGGTCTAGTCTGGAGAGTAATCTAATGTTGAGTTTCTAGGACCTTTGAATCTGAGTTGTGCTACATGTGTACCACTTCCATTGATGTTTATTGCCTTGCACATATCCATGTATCCACATCTTTCCCTTTCACTGTGTGTACTTAATATAAAAGAACAGATGATATTTTTAAACCCAATTTGTTGGGAAAAAGCTGTCCCAGAAAACAAATTAATTATAGGAATGAGTACACAGACTATCACAAATGATTAGATGCCATGGAACAAGGCACGGCTAATTCTCTGTATTATTGTTTTTTCATCTAACCTTCCTTTTTTTTGCGGTTTGTTTATAGGCTCCAGTACGTCATACACTTTTACCATAGAGGGGCTTCCATAAATGAATGCCTGCAGCGTTAAAGTGTGTCTCCTTTAACTAAATGCCTCCAAGCTGCCACATCCTGTCTGTACTCAGGCGGGCTGAGGACACCGATCCCCAGTCCCCGGGTCTAACTGTAGCCTGTGGGAGTTTTCTCATGCCGATTGTGATACACAATCCGGGGTCACATTAGTAAGGAAAATCTACAGTGGGGGTCACCGATAGTGCCGTGGGGCTTCCAAAGGCAGGCATAGCCATAAACACAGCCTCAGTCCTGGTAGATATATCCCCCTCTTCCTAGTCTGTAGCTTACAATATGCTGTTACACTGATTTGTCTAGCTGGGATGCAGGGCCACAGCCCCGCCTGTCTCCTCTCTTACCTTTCATGACCTGTGAAAGCTCTCTGACTTAATATTGTATTTTAACCACAGATGCTCGCAGAAGGAGAGGGGAGGGATTGGTTGTGAGTGGTCGACATGAACGCTGTCAGCACGGATTGGTGAAATTGCATATTGGTGCTAGGTCGGATTCCCAGCGTGCAGCGAACACGGGGACGGGAGCCAGACGGCGGGGTGACAGTTTGGGAGAAGGCTGCGAGTTGTGAGATGAAGACAGACAGAGGTATGGGGTCAGAGGGCTGCCCTTACCTTCAGCTCCTGTCAGGTTTTATTTTTGATTTCCAATAGAGCTTGATGCATGGTTGACTTTTTGAAGAAAAGTAACATGAAGACAGATTTTGGCAATTGAATAGTTAGTACATTGAGCTTTACGTTACATTAACATCTATTTGGCAGAATAGCTTTATTCAACTAATAACATTATGCTAAATTGAGGTAAAAATTGAAAGAAACTAA